TTCAACACCCCACCCAATCCTCACCATCAGGAGATTACATTCAACACCCCACCCAATCCTCACCATCAGGAGATTACATTCAACACCCCACCCAATCCTCACCATCAGGAGATTACCTTCAACACCCCACCCAATCCTCACCATCAGGAGATTATCACAGACTACCCACCCAATCCTCACCATCAGGAGATTACCACAGACTACCCACCCAATCCTCACCATCAGGAGGTTGGTTACCTTCGACTCCACACCCAATCCTCACTATCAGGAGGTTACCTTCGACTCCCCACCCAATCCTCACCATCAGGAGGTTACATTCAACACCCCAACCAATCCTCACTCTCAATAGATTACCTTCAACACCCCACCCAATCCTCACCATCAGGAGATTACTACAGACTCCCCACCCAATCCTCACCATCAGGATATTACCTCTGACTACCCACGCAATCCTCACCATCAGGAGGTTACCACTGACTCCCCACCCAATCCTCACCATCAGGATATTACCTCTGACTACCCACCCAATCCTCACCATCAGGAGGTTACCACTGACTCCCCACCCAATCCTCACCATCAGGATATTACCTCTGACTACCCACCCAATCCTCACCATCAGGAGATTACTACAGACTACCCACCCAATCCTCACCATCAGGAGGTTACCTTCGACACCCCACCCAATCCTCACCATCAGGAGATTACCACAGACTACCCACCCAATGCTCACCATCAGGAGGTTACCTTCGACACCCCAACTAATCCTCACCATCAGAAGATTACCACAGACTACCCACCCAATCCTCACCATCAGGAGATTACCACAGACTACCCACCCAATCCTCACCTTCAGGAGATAACCACAGACTCCCCACCCAATCCTTATCATCAGGATATTACCTCTGACTCCCGACCCAATCCTCACCATCAGGTGATTACTACAGACTACCCACCCAATCCTCACCATCAGGAGATTACCATAGACCCCCCCTCCCCCCCNTGTTTATGTAGGATACCCCCAAAATATAGAAGCTTAATACATTGTATTTTGACAGTTTACCCACTGTTCTGTTTCAAGTAACATAATTAACAATTTTGATTGGTCAAAAAGAGTACCATTAATACACTGTGCCAAGGACTAAGCTTACCGGTATTTGGATGTAATATAATCCATCCCACTGTTCTATTTTTAGTAACACTAATCTTGACCTTGACATTAGGAATTTTTTAAACCCAGGCCTATCGCACATCTGCCCTGAAAATATAATGGAATTATATTTGAATTCCTTTAATTCGACACTTGAATTACATATTTTCTTATTTTCTCTCCTCATGACCAATTATGTGCAGTACCTTGGAAGAGAATGATGAGCTCTTTATTTATCATTATTCCATTTCAGGTGTACAATAATTGAACGTGATGATAGTTATGTTTCGTTTTGGAATCATTGTGTTGCACTCCCAGGTAATATTACATCTTATTAACGCATCTTTCACAATTTCAGATAGTATGATTTCATTTAAAAGGAAATAAATCATTTAACGAATCTCAATACAATGATATATTTTTTGTCTAATTGCCATGCAATGATATAATTTTCAGATTCACTAAATACCTAGAAATGTCACTAGAAATCAATATATACGTGCATAACAGATATCATTATAAATGTTCATGACCATGTTTATATTTATATGCCAATCCGTGTGGGTTTTAATGATGCTGTGGGCTACCTCCTAATGTTATTATGTAGTTAGCTCTCCCCACGCCACTAACATGTTTTAATACGATGATACAAGTTTGCAGTTATAAAATGATGGGCAATGACTTTTATGCTATTTTCAAAGATTTAGCAGTTTTTAATAAATTTCTTTAAAACAATGTCTAGCTTTACTGATTAGGAGATCTACATATAGGGATTATTCTTGGTTTCTTGATGATAACTATCATATTCATGTATCTCATGATTGGAGGGAATTATTTTTATATTTAGGGTGTCATGTAGTTGGAGTGAAAAATATTATAAAAAAACACAGCATTCAAAGTTAACCCATGAGTGAAAATATGACTGTTATTCATTACTAGTATTGAATTCAGAAATATTTGTTTATTATGTTATGAGAGCAGTCTATTTCCCTCCAAAAACTGTTGACAAAGCGTGAGCTGTATCGCAGCGTCACACTAAGATATCATTAGTGCTATCATGACATCACAATCAACAACACCCATGGTTTGATATCTCTCACACTAAACCCTGCTGATTCGTTGGTTTATTGTGAAAATATGGAATTGTTACTTATCATAGTGTAGTCAAATATAAACTATATTTTTAACGAAAAATAGTATATTTCCCTGTTAAAATAGTGATAAATACTGATAGAGAGGAGGTGGTGTGATAGGCTGGTTGTGAACTTCGTTGCAGTTTTGACTAATTGTCCTCTCTACTGATTTAGAGCCATTTTATTTTTAGGCTATACAAATTTTAAGCTGCATTAGTGTTGATTGAGCTATGTAACGGTGAGTTATTGAGCTATGTAATTGAGAGTTATATCGATAGTGAGCTTAGTTGTGAGTAACTTACAAATAAATAAAATAAAAATGTACAGCATTTGATATAGCGCCCTATCTAGCTAACATAAGCCACTCTAAAGTGCTTTACCCTACATAGATATACAATTAATACAATTAGCATATACCTGGTACATTAATCAATACAATTTTGAGGAATTCGCAGGAGCTGCCTTATCAGGCGCTAACTACTAGTCCTATGCCACCTGGCTAAAATCTCCTTATGTGTGTATGCCTGCATGTGTGCTGGAGATGTATTGTGTTCTGTTTGTAGTGGGACCTTGCTTCCAACGGTATCTTTAATAGGGCCACCTCACTTGAATGCTACAGCACAGATACCGCAACATCCACCCCAGACCCTTTTTATACTCAACCTGGGTTGTTGGAGTTGTGTTGCAGGAGAAAAACACTTACAGTATTAATTATAATGATTTTAAGCTAACATAGTATACAGTCTAGCTATATTGATCACTAGTAAGCTGAAATCATGTATTTCAGTAGAAAATGTAACAAGATGATTGATACACCTATAAAACAATTCTGACCTGTATAGTCCTATAATTATCAGGTCCAGTACACTCTGCCGATTGAGCTATATAGCTATAAAGACCTATATAGCTATATTCACCTATAAATTATAGCTGTATTGAGCTATATTTTCTGAGATTTCAATTTTCATTAAATTAAAGCAAAGTCGCATAAAACAATAAGGTTTATGGTAATGTTGACTGCAAAAAGCATACGATTAGATGTATATTTTCATTTTTCATAAATGTAAAATTTCCGATTTTTTTACAACATTATTTTTTTAAAAGAATACTTATATTTCATGTCTTTTGTTATCAACCTAATGATACAATCTTCTTTTAAATGTGACTTTGTTTCGTTTTCCTTAAACAAGAAAATCACTTGAAAATAGCTCAAAAGACCTATTTCAGATAGGTCAATAGAGCTATTATAGGTCTTTACTGCTATATAGCTCAATAGGCAGAGTGTACTGGACCTGATGATGCTGCCATACCTACTGTACACACAACAATACACTATACAGGTGTCTGTTTGGGGTCGCATGGTGCTTGTCTCCCTATGCACCATTGATGAGAGAGGTAGCGTGATTGTAGATTATAGTGTTTTCTAGAATCCAATTAATATTTCATTGTTGATGTGTGTAGGGATATAAAGTAAAACTGGAAATTCCACCGTATGTATATCATCAATAAGTGATGTGGCTCGACGACAGGGCCTGGTGTCATCAGTACTTGTGTATTCATTGTTAGCCATTCCTGGTCATCACTGCATCAGTGCCCATCTAATCCATCAATTAGTATCTCTCTTAGGAATACAGAGCACCTTAACACAGGTTTAGTCTTCTTGTTTAGAAAATAAGTGTCACCAAACAACAACATCACATTTTAACAAGAATTAATGTAAGCTCAAAGCTTGTTTCATTATATTCATGTAACTAACATGTTTGAATATTGAATAAATACTGTTTAAACTAACTAGAGGGGAAACTTTGTTTCGTGTCTTAAAAACATGACAATGTTACTCATGTCTTACAAATATGAAAATGAAATTTTAAAACATATCTTATAAAAATATCAATAATGCTGTAACACATGTCTTAATGATGTTACCCATGTCTCACAAACAATGTTTGTCTGGTTGTATATGTCCTTTTCATAGTCAGCAATGTCATGTGAAAATAGAATTTAATCTCCAAGTCCAACATGATCTGGTCATTACAGTGGTCAATTAGAGAAAATGGTAGTCCAGGTGAGGGTAACCTGGTTTAGGACCTAAGACAGTCTTGCCACAGTAATGTAGTGTTGAGGTATTCCAGCCCCAGACTTGGTCAAATTGTGATACCTGTTTGATTTTAAATTCTCCCGATTTGCAGAAAAGCAGGAAATATTTGTCCTATAGGTACGTGCACGTGGCACTTGTATAGGTTGAGAAGCATATGTGGTTTATAGCCGACCAATGAGATTGTTTCAGAAGCGTAAAACATGGTAGGATAACCGGTTAGTTTGTTAGGCATTCTAGCTTTTGGTCAGCTCAGAAACGGACCGTTTAAATTTAGCTTGTATAAGGGTAACTCCTGAACTATGAAGATCGTGTTTATACTCGATGTTTAGAAATCCCAGCAAGGTCAACCTGAAGCAGTGGACTGGTACACCTTTTGTCTCCCTAAAATGTGTTTTCAGGTTGGGTGGCAGGCTTGGTTTATTTAGATAAACATGGTCTGAGAGGGGAAGAATGTCGAGTGTGGGTTATAAATATGAAAAAAAATAGATATGCATACATGTATATATATGCATAAAACCACTGTTGATATGAAATGCAGGCTCAGTTGTTCCTAAAGGCCGAGCAGCTAATTGCATATAAGGAGTTTGTTGTTTAACATACTGAGTAATAAGTATATAGAGGACCTATGGAATGGGAACACCAAATGTCCTTCAGACTTAATTACCACATAACAGGTAGATATTTGACATTTTCCACTTTGAGTTCTATTTATATGGTATTGTCTGAATTTGTAACGACACATTGCAACTTTCACTGATTCTTTGATGAATTACAAACAAACAGATAGAAAGTCTAGACTTTTTAAAAGTATGGCTTCATGCGTGACACCCTGGGGGAGTCAGCCAAGCGTCCATCAGACCAACACTGTAAACAGGTCTGCTATGCATCATTAGACATTGAGACAGGTTTGTGTAGATCTAACAGTCAACATGTCTGATTCTCAGCTACAGGTCACTCACATATATCTAAACCTGAGTTAACGGTGTATCAATGGTTAAACATGGTCTGATTCCTAGCTACTGGTCAGTCACTTATCACAACCTGAAGGTTAATTGTGTATCAAAGGAAACCTTCACTGGAATATTTTTTTGCATCTCTAAGGTAAGTCTGCCAGTCACAGCAGTTATACCAGCCTATTAGTAATTATATGTATTCCAAGAGACTAAATTAACATCTACTTTTTCTCTTCAACATAACGAAATGATTAACCCTCAAGATAGTCAACAGGTTACAGTAGATTTTATACAGGTTACATTAGATATTATACAGGTTACAGTAGATATTATACAGGTAACAATATATTTTATATAGGTTACAGTAGATATTATACAAGTTACAGTAGATATTATACAGGTTACAGCAGATATTATACAGGTTACAGTAGATATCATATAGGTTACAGCAGATATTATACAGGTTACAGTAGATATTATACAGGTTACAGCAGATATTATACAGGTTACAGTAGATATTATACAGGTTACAGTAGATATTATACAGGTTACAATAGATACTATACAGGTTACAGTAGATATTATACAGGTTACAGTAGATATTATCCAGGTTACAGCAGATATTATAGAGGGTACAGTAGATATTATACAGGTTGCAGCAGATATTATACAGGTTACAGTAGATATTATATAGGTTACAGTAGATTTTATACAGGTTACAGTAGATATTACACAGGTTACAGTAGATATTATACAGTGTACAGTAGATATTATACAGGTTACAGCAGATATTATACAGGTTACAGTAGTTATTATACAAGTTACAGTAGATATTATACAGGTTACAGCAGATATTATACAAGTTACAGTAGATATTATACAAGTTACAATAGATATTATACAAGTTACAATAGATACTATACAGGTTACAGTAGATATTATACAAGGTTAGCAGGAATGCAGGCAAAGCAGGTATCAGTATTTTGTTTTAAATTACCTTTTTAAATATCACAGTTGCAATAAATGCAACAATTAACTTAAAAATAAATTCTTTTATTTATGAGCATTTAAATCACACATCCTC